ATATGATCACCTTTGAAGGCGAGTCTGAGGAAGACAATTTTCTTCGGTACTTCAGATTTTTGTCATGCACCAACAGTCGAAAATGCGTGTGTATCCTGGTTGCTCCATTTGGTCAGCGTTGGTCGTGAAATGCATTCCGCATTTGGAGATGAAGTGTTCAGAAAGGGTTTCTTGCTGCGGTCACGTTAAGCGGATATCAGTAGATCCGTAGCACAAGTCTGATGCGTCTCGGGGGTGATTTTGATTAGTTTTTACATAACCAGTGCAAACCAAATGCAGTTTGGTGTCGGGTAAGATGCAAACATGGCCCAACAGTCAAGTCCTTAGTGCAGTTGTATTTATCATATTTTGGTACCTCGAGATGCTGTGACAATAAAGTTGGGTTTATCACACTCCAAATAGCGTTCAAATTAGGAAAGGGACGGAGAAAGATAAAATTCAGGGGTTGAGGAAAAACGTTTCCGGATGCATAAAATCTTTCATTTGTTACAAAAACGTAAGCATTATACGTTCTCGTAGTATTTTTCACCAGCATTCATGCACAACAGTTCCATGCGCTCAAAGCATATCGTGGGTAAGAACGCGACCAGTTCAATAATGGCCTTCAATGCAGCTGTTGATGACTCCTATCGGAGCCAACGGATCATGCGCTTGACATTTGGGAACACAAAAAGGTCACACGGAACCAGTTCTGGACTGCAGGTTGGGTGACCAACATCCTGAATACGTTCTCTAGCCATCAAATCGCCGATGAACTGAGACTTGTGTGCGGTGCATTGTCATATTGCAGCAAGTTCCCTCGTGCTTGAGTCTTTGGACGATGCCTGGCAATAGCTTTCAGCACTTTCGACAGACAGTAGGTGTCCTAGCAGTCTCCGGTGACCGTGCTTTGCAGTTAGAGCGGTACGGTGGTAACAGTAGCGAGACTACATTGGAAAGCCCACCATCAAACCTGGCAAACATGATGCAGCACAAATTCACTCAAACTGCTTTCTGTTTCTCATTGAGCTGATGTGGTACCCAACGTGTGCAAGCTTTTCTGAGGTCGAACTTCTTATGTAGGATGGTACGGGTTGATCGTGATAGGATCCCGGTGGCTTCTGCCAATTTTGCCACTGCCACCCACGCATCCCCCTTTACCATCGCTTGCACAGAAGCAATTTTATCTGCTGTGGTGGCCTCCACAGGTAGACCAGGCTGTGTTTCATCATCCACAAATCACTCAAACACAATGCTCCTTGAAGGTGCATTCTCACCAACGGTAGCTGTCCACGGCTATTGATAATTGGGTCTGTGAGTTTCAATCTGTGAGAATTATTCACAATAGATTACAGTTCACGTTTTCCTTGTCCAGTCATCTATCTGTACCTCATACGTGTACTGCGTATTCGGAAACTTTTTGCTCAACCCCCGTATGCTACGTATACAGTTATTTCTCTCCTGACGAACGAATGTCAGATAACCCCACAGCATGCATTTATAAAGCTCGGCAAGGATCTAATATGCAGCTATACGTTTAGACATGTATTTAACCAGCCTAGCTGGTCCTACCACGAGGTTCCGAGACACAGACGATACAAATTAAATAATGGTTGCGGGTGCTCAGGCACAGCTGTCTACGCAACCATACCGAAGTCTAGTAGGATGATAACCGTAGAACACTCATTCCAATGCTTAACCTATGCAAATAGCTGGAGCATGAGGCACTGAATGTGAACAGGTGGGCTTCCAATATATGTGTAATATACATACAGAGAAAAGTGATGCTTGAAAGAAGGCCAAGGGTAGTCCCATCTGGCTTTGGATTATCAAAACCTCAACAAGCAAGCATATTGATGAAAATTATTAAAAGGAATTTGGGTTAAAGCGCTCAAGCTCAAGTGTATCTACGATGATAGACACTGTTGAGAATTGTTGCATCCACCCTCTTCGTTTGCACAACTAATAGCTTAAGTTCTTCGGCTTTTCTACCTCAATTCCCTCTTTTTTGTGGATCAATCGTTCATCCTAAATCAGCTCCACGTTAGGTATATTGTTTGCCAGAGAAATGGCAAGCCGGAAACGAACACTGGGTCACTGGTTTGTGTCAACTACAAATGAGCTGAACACCACCACATTCTCGCTCCAAGGATACGGTAATTGGTTAACGCCCGCTGAACATTTACCCGGGTTATTTGTTGACCCTTCATGTCTGTGACGTTCGCGGTGAAATGTGAGGTAGACATACAGTGATGCGAGTCTTTAAAATGCTACAAACGGAACTGTCACCATTATCATCATCATCATCATTAGCCTTCTCTTTAAAAGGCTCTGTATGCGCCCATGTGTTAGAGGCCAGCCCAGTCCC